TTTTCTCTTTTTAAAGATTGCTTGGTTACAAAATGAATCGTAATTAAATTTAAATTTTGAACAATCCAGGACTAAAGATTGCAAAGTTAAGAGATGAATCGTAATTAAATTTAAGTTTTGAACGACCAACGACTGTTAGGATGAATAATTTGATATTCTTCTCTTTTAAATGAGATTAAAAATTCTATCACGAATGGAGCAAATATTATGAGAAGTTGATATATTATCATCATTTCATTTTCGATTTGTAAAATTGGTTTATTTTTAATATGAGATTATCTTTACAATTAAAACTATGTAAAACAAAATATTCCTAATTTACCAAATAACTGCAAAAGTAATAAAACTAAAAAAGCAAGGTTAGTTATATTATCTTTACAATGGTTGAACCGGCATTCAGTTAAGGTTCAGTCAATTCATTTTAATTCTATTCCTTAAATGGTTCAAAAGCAAGATTAGACCAGTTTCGAGTCTAATTAACCAGTTTTTAAGTTAAACTATTGGGTTTATTTGGGACTTAAATATGGATGAACATTGAGTCTGTTCTGTTGATTTTGGTGAAATTTTTAATTGAGCCGAATTAAACAAACTAACTGGAGAGTTAGTTGAACCACGACGAATGGGAATTTAATGGAATAAGAAATGAAATTTAACTGAACTAAAAATGTAATAAAAAAAAAATAAATAAATATTAACGATTCTTTCTACTTTTTACCAATTGAAACGATAATATTTTTAGCATCAAGCAATACATATAATACAGTTATATTTACATTAAACTAAACCGAATCATTAATCAAACACTCAAAATTACAATTTTATTGGTCGAATAAATTCTAACACCCACATTTCAAACCAAAATTAATTGATTTGATCGGTTTAGTAGAACCGAATCGTCATCCAAGACCCAAATGCTTTATTTGCAGTTCCTCTTTGAATCTCTCTATCTCTCGCCTCTTCCTTTGAATATATACAATTATCTATTGATACAAAGAAAAAGGCAGGCATGCCTGCCAAAACTATTGAAACTATACCAATTTTGGGGGGCCAGAGAAGGAAAATTAGAAGTGAGTGAGTAAGTGGTATAATGGCCATTGGCCACCTATAAGCAGAGACAAAAAGAAATGATGCAGTTTGCCACCCCCCTCTCCATTGCCCTATATATCTATCTATCTATCTATATTTTTTAATAAAAAAAAAAAAAGCTAAATACCCTTTTCTTTTTTAAAATTAATAAAAATTAGTTATTTGTTATTTACTTGCTCTTTTTAACTCCTCAATAAAAGTTGCTGTAGCTGATGCAAGAAATTATTCCCAACGATACGTACTATTCTGACGTCATTTCCACGTTATCTCCACCCAAGCATTCCCCAACCTGGAAAATGGAAACGCTCAAACGCAAACCTTTACTTCTATATCTCACCGTGTATTTTCTTTTTCACATCCTTATTTTTAAGATTTTTCAATATTAAAAATTAATTAATATATTAAAATCTAAAATTAATAAAAAAATTGATATTTTAAAGATTTATTATTAAATATAAAAATAATAAATTATAATAATCGGTAATGACTGTTGATAATCTATAATTAGTGAAAATAGTTAACTTTTCCCTTCGGCTACCCTAAATTGATTTTCCTAAACATCTAATATAAAAAATTCAAAAAATATTCTTCATGTAAGTTACCTTTCGGAACAAATGAAACTCTAACATAAGTTTTTATTTTCATGCTATAAAATATAATTGATATCAATATAAATTTTTATTTATCTAATTAAGTAATTTATTTTTAATTAAGTGTACTCTAATTATTCTTCTCACATCTTATAAAAGATGTAAGATATGAAGGGTGAGGAATCATGAGTTTGAGTCGGTAACAAAATTCAGTATATTATTTAAAAAAATAATCAATTAGGATAATATATTTAATATTATTTTCTGATAATAATCAATTGAGTATATGATTTACCATATCAAGATAATAATTATGTTATTTAACCTAAATTTTTTGGGTTAATAATAAATACTATTTATCACTAAATTAATTTCAAATAATAATTACTTGCTTTTGATTTTCATAATAAGTGCATAATTGTAACACCCTAAAACTAGACCATTGCCAACCTTGTTAGTTGCTATTACTAATTACTACTTCTCATATCTATAAATTTTAACCATTATTATTATTATTATTTTCTACTAAATGAAAGTTAATAATCATTTTATCCAAGTGTAAACCAAGTACAACAAAAACATAATTAGTGAGTTAAAGATATATCTAATCCAATGGCTATAAACGGTGCAAACAATATGATAAGAAAAGCATTGGACCCACAGAGAATATTTAACTGAAAAAATTAAAAAGATTATTATGATTAAATTGAAGAGATGATAATAACAGCATAATAGGTTGGTTTGGAATTTGAGAAATGGTGGGTAGATGTGGGGTTGTATATATAAATACAAGAAAAGTGTAATAGCAAAAGGAGATGAGAAAGGTGAGGAGCTTTTCTTTTCTTTTCTTTTCTTTTCTTTTCTTTTCTTTTCTTTTTCTTTTTTTTCTCTGCAAAAAGTCAAATAGGCCCTATTTCATAATCATAATGATATCTTCACCGCTGATACAGAGAGGGCGAGATATGCACCCAAGATTCATCATCATTGCTTCTCATTTTTTTTTAAACCCTAGAATAAAAACCACACAAAGAAACCCTAGACTCCAACGCTACTAATACTCTTTCTCTCTCTCTCTCTCTATATATATATATATATTACTGCTATAATACTATATTTTATTTAGAGATGACATTATACCAAGAGTTAATTTGTCCGCTACCAACGAAAATCAAGGGTTCTTAATTTTTTTTAAGAAAATTTTTTTGACATAGACGGAGTTAAATCTACATAATCATAAATGACTAATCTTTAAGTTATAGTTCGAGGATTATGGATTAAAGTAATCTTTGTAAATTACAAAGATGGCTTTTTCTTTTGTCTTTTACTAATTATCACTAAATTCATAACAACTTTTTTAAATAAATAGGAGATCCAAATATAATGTAGAATTTATCATTATAAATTTTACTTTTATTTTCTTAAATAATTTCAATCAATATTTTTCTATAAGCATGCATGTGTATATATTCGGAATGGAATGGTATTTAAATAAAGCTCCACTTGATATATGAGTCTATCCGTACATCAAGTTAATCTATTCAAATTATTACTTTTTATTCTTTTTATATGAGTAAATGATAATATGAGAAATACTCTCAAAGTTATTTTTTGATTGGTTTAGCCCATATACGAGGAGTAGACAAGCTATTTTCGTTGAGTAAAGTCCTCCAAATAGGGAGCACACCAATTTTGAATCTTTCATCCAGTAAGTAAAATTAGGAGGTCTAACCGATTGGGCATCTTTTTAATTGACTCGTCAAATTGGTGAACATCTCTCATCTTTTATATTAGGAGGTCCAACTGATTGGGCATCTCTTTAATTGAATTGGTGAACATCTCTCATCTTTTATATTAGGAGGTCCAACTGATTGGGCATCTCTTTAATTGACTCGTCAAATTGGTGAACATCTCTCATCTTTTATATTAGGAGGTCCAACTGATTGGGCATCTCTTTAATTGACTCGTCAAATTGGTGAACATCTCTCATCTTTTATATTAATGAGAAAACCAATTAAACTAGACCAAGTTAGTAAATGGATTGAATTTCAACCCAACTGCATATTGATTATACACTTTATATCTTTTTCAGATGTATATCGACGTGCAAGTACATGATTTACAAATGAAGATAAAAAATAAAAAACTTTCTTTAAAGATTTGAGGTGGGTGATAATTTTTAACCTATGGGCGCTTTAATTAATATGTAATGCTTCAGTTGTCTCTGTTATTGTAAGCTCATCTCTTCTCCATTTTTCTTTTGTATCCTTATTGGAAGCCATACAAAGGTAATATAAAACCAATAGACTAACACAGCTACATATACTGCTCAACCATTTGTCGTCTATTGTTGACTCTCGAAATACATACATAACAGCAAAATTCCATTAACCCAACGTTTGAGACAAAAAAAAAAAATATTCAGGCTTTTTATGTCAAACAGTAACATTATGTGTTGCACTGTTGCCCAATATCTCACTTAAAAAAAAAAAAAAAAAAAAAAAAAAAAATCTAAAAAAAAAAAAGTTAAGAAAGAAAATAAGTTAGAAGCCAAGCCAACAATTCAGTATGAATCTGGAAAACTGTCGTACTCAGCATAGTAAAGAAAATGTCCTCTTTTTTCATTTGTTTGTTCTTTTCCTCTATACTATTCCCTCAAGCTTAAAGCGTAAAAGCAAAAGAAAAGTTTTTTTTTTTAATTTAGAATATATTTTTTAAAACACAAACGATAGAGGGGAAAATAGACGAGAGAGCTAAAAGGGAAAGTTGTGGGTTGGGTCATACTTATATGTATTGGCGTTATCTTTCATTCATATCAAATCGTATTTTGGTGTGGTAAATGTCTCATTTGCTATATCTTGTCCTCTGGAAGTTTGGAGAGACTCTCCTCTCCTCTTCTTCTAATGTTCTTCACATTCCTTTGGAAAAATTCTTTGAAATCTCGAGTTAAACCAAATATATAGTTTACTTTTCTCTTATCTTGTACTAGATTATGGCAGCCACATTCCCACATCCCCATAGTTAAAAACCAGAGTGGGGGTATTTGAGGAGAGTGCAAGTAGATGCCTAAAAAAAAAAAAAAAAAAAAAAAAAAAAGGAAGAAAGAAAAAGTTAGAAGCCAGCCAACAATTCAGATGAATCTGAAAAGTCTATAGCATATAAAGAATGTCCTCTTTTTCATTTGTTTGTTCTTTTCCTATATATCCCTCAATGTAAGGTAAAAGCAAAAGAAAAGTTTTTTTTTTTAATTTAGAATTTATTTTTTAACACAAAGATAGAGGGGGAAAATAGAGAGAGGAGCTAAAAGGGAAAGTGTGGTTGGTCATATTTATAGGTATTGGGTTACTTTCATTCATATCATCTTTTGGTGGTAAATTCTCTTTGCCTATATCTTTTCGTGAAGTTTGAGAGACTCTCTCTCCTCTTCTTGCTAATGTTCTTCAATTCTTGAAAAATCTTGAATCTCGAGTTAAACCAAATATATAGTTTCTTTCTTTCTTGTAGATATGGCAGCCACATCGCAATCCATGTTAAACCAGAGTGGGTTATTTGAGGAGCAAGAGATGCCTACACAAATGGGTTTCTTTTCATTTCCTCAAAACCTAACCTTCGCTCAAATGGGTAATTGCCATCAATCTCTGAAAGCTGCTGGTGGCTTAATTAGTGTTACACCTCATCATAGTCATAATTCAGTCTCTGGTTCAACCGATGCACCATCTTCTACGACTACTACTAATCTTACAGAAGCCCTCCTTTTCTCTGCTGCTGCTACTGCTGCAAATAAGCAAAGAGATGACCTTACTTCCAATTTTGGAGGACCCCATCTTCTTTCTTTGCAAAGATCTAGTGCAAATCTTTGGTAAAGAAACTTTATACTCTTAGAAAAAAATAAAGCCATTCTCCTTTTCAAGTTTCCATGGTTTTTTTTTTTTTTTTATAACTTGGGTTAAGAAAAAAATATTAGTGAAACTATAAATGAAACAAAAAATTTTAAAAAAAATACTAGATTTTTGTAGAGGAAATTATGTATGATAATTTCTCATATATTAAAGATCAGAGTTTAAGTGGGAATTTGGTAATTTAAAAAATAAAAAAAATTACTGGATCTGGTGTAGGGATAATTAATATCACAATAGATTATATTCAAACCCTAATAACTCGAATTTTATTTTTATTTTTTTTAGGTGAGAGCATATCTTATGAGTATTTATTTGTTTATTTATTTATATATTTTCATGCATGCATATATATATGGGTGCATAATGAAATGGGTTAATCTCTGGAATTTATATTTACAGGGCATGGGGGGAGGTAAATGAGTGTCTGAGCAACAAAAGAAATGGTGGAGATAATGAACATCATTTAGGGATTTCTGCAATGAAAATGAAGAAGATTAAAGCAAGAAGGAAGGTAAGAGAGCCTAGATTTTGTTTCAAAACTATGAGCGACATTGATGTTCTTGATGATGGTTACAAATGGAGAAAATACGGCCAGAAAGTGGTCAAGAACACACTTCACCCCAGGTTAGACAAATTTTTTAAATTCTTATTTTTATTTTATTTAAATTACATATACATATAAAATATATATATATACATAAAATTAAAGTTCAAATAGTAAATAAGGTTTTGATAGGCTTTATTTGTACCCCATACACATGCTATGTTCCTCTTTCTTTCTCTCATTGTCATTATTACACATAGCTGTTATCATTGTAGTTAAGCTTTTTACAGACTTGATGCAGGAGATTGGGGGATAAACATGTGTGTGTGTGTGTGTGTGTGTGTGAAATATTAATCATCATTTTGATAATAAAAAATTATTTCATTTCAGGAAGTGGCCAAAAAGAACTATAATTATTAGCTTTTAAAGACAAAATCACAATGTAAAGAAAAAAGAAAAAGAAAAAAGGGCAACAATTGATCAATCATATATATACCGTTTTGTGAAAAGCAAAGTAAAAAATTAATTATTTTCTTTTCATCTTTTTCTTTTAGGAACTTCAAATTCTTGAAAATGATTAAATTTTAATTCTTGAAAATGTTTCCCCTTAAATGTTTGCGTGTTCTTGTTGATATAAATCAATCTACAGATATTTAAGTATATGTAGAATGGAAATCTTTGGTGAAGAATACACAAATTCTTGCTTGCCAAATTACAGGAAGTAGTGCATTTTTTTTTTCTTCGTAATAGTAATTCTTGAATCTATTTTCCATACATATTTGCTAGAATCTTTTTAGATGATCGATTTTAAGGAAACACACGTGTGTGTTTGTGCACATTCGCGTATTTAAAACGTGTCGTATACGCGTATACATACAGACATATATACACACACCTGCGTTTAAAAAACCATATATGCATGGAGTTTTAAAGGTGTATCGTCTTTAGTAACTTGTTTGTCTATTATCTTGACTGGGAAATGTTGTTCTTTATTTTTGACAACAAAGTATGGAAAGTAAATGAGAGTTGCTTATGCAGTGGATAAAAATTTCTAAGGCTATGATTTCTGCTTTTTGAATTATTGTAAATTATTAATAATCATAATAATATATGATGAGAACATTAATTTCTCTCCTTTCTTGTAAGAGATGAGGACTATATCCATATAGCCAAAGTCAAGAAAAAATAAACTTTGATTACCAATTTGGGTTTAGTTTAGGGTCTTAATTACTATTATTTATGAGAATAATTAATAGTGTAAATCTCATTATTACTGTAATGTGGTATCTGAAAAAACAAGGAAAAAATTTAATTATATTTTATGCTTTATATTTCTAAAATAAATAAGAGTTTCACTCATATTTAGAAATGTTAAATATTTCTTAACTTTTGACTGTAGGAGATCAAAACTTAAAATCACAATATCTTATTTTTCTTAAAATATTTCTACAATATATATAAAAAAATAAAAGTGTAGTTAGAAATTATTATTTATATAATAGAAATATATAAATCATTGATGCAATGTTCTCACAATTTAATTTGCAGGAATGAAGTTGTTGCCTATTAATTAGAGTTCAAAGATTTTAATTCTAATATTTTTTTTCCATTTTAGGAATTTTAATGTATAAAAAAATGTTTTTTTATTTTTTTTTAGAGCTAGTCAGGCACTTGGTTCTTATATATAGATTTTTTTAACTGATTTTTTTTTTTTTTAAAAAAAAAAAAGGGAATTTACTATAGGGTGCTTGAACTTTTTTTCCTTTTCCTATTCTTTGTTCTTTAGCAACAGCATGGCATTGGTGAAAATTCACCCAACTTTTCACATTCCTGAGGTGGTGTACGTAAAGTTTCCTTGGTCATTATGATTACCACTGCTCGACCTTTGTGTGTGCTTTTTATTTATTTTTCTTTTTTTTATTGGCAAAATAAATTCAGATTTTTCTTTTTCTTGTTTTGGTATATGAAAATCTTTTTTTCTTATAGTCTTTTCAAATCTGGATATATATAATTTCTTTTTTCAATTTTGATTTCTGCTTTTTAAAAATGTTATTATCTCGTTCAAAATATAAGTTGTTTTGAGTATTATAGAAAGTTATAAATAATATTTTTTCAATATTATTCTTATTTATATTAGATATAATAACTACATTCACGAGTTACTATTGATTTTGAAATAAACGAGAATTTAATCAAACTACTTTTGATTTTGTTATAATTTAGGAAAATTAATTGATTTCTTAATACCGTGCAAAACCTTAAACGATTTATATTTTATGACAAATGGAGTATTATTTTATAAATTGAAAATGTTTACAGATAGGCTAAATCTTGAACTAGGGAATTGAATTATTACAAATGTTTAAATTAATTAACTAATTGATTAATTGTTATTTATGCATCCTTAGCTTCCTCATTTCTATAAGAAATTGCAAGCAATTTAATGAAATTAATTAAATTTTCTGTCTTATATTTAATTACGCAGGAGCTATTATCGTTGCACACAAGATAATTGCAGAGTAAAGAAAAGAGTGGAAAGATTAGCAGAAGATCCACGAATGGTGATAACAACCTATGAAGGAAGACATGTACACTCTCCATCCCACGATCTTGAAGACTCACAAGCTCAATCTCAACTCAACAATTTCTTCTTTTAGTAATACTTTTCTTATTATATATGCTTTTTCATATTTCTCACACCTCATTTTCGGCTTGCTTCTTCTTGTTTAGGTGTCTTTTATATATATATATATATATATATGTTTTTAGATACTTTGATGAGCTGTAATAAAATATAATGCAATGTAATCAAACGCATAATTAAAAATGCATTTGATTACATAGTATTACATTTCGTTATAGTTCAACAAACAAAACGGTAGTGTTTAATTCTAAGACATTGGAAAAAGAAAAAAATCTCAGCCGTCAAAGTATGTATATCGCGGAGTTTTTGAGTCCTTTCATGCTAGCTTCGGATCGATTTAATGAATCAGAACTTTTTTGAAGGTTTTGATTTTTAAATGGATAGAATTGCATCTAGTGCACTAGAAAATAATATGCCTGTTTTTTTCTTTCAGAAATATGTGAATTTTCGAAACATGAAATAATTAGTGAATTTCACATATTTGTGAAAGACAAATATATTATTTCTTAGTGCATTGGAAATATTGTATGATTTTCAGTGTATGAATATTATTGTAATCTTCTTTGAATACATAAATGATATGCATTTATTGTCTATTTTAGGTTACTACTATTATTTTTATTGCATATGGGTGATGTGATGAGTCCATTTCTGTTTATTGTATTAATAAAATAGATATTGATTTATGATTAACATAATAAAGAAAACAAATAATAAAAAAATGTAATAAGTATTATGATACAGAGATAATAAAAAATTTAATTCCGTTAAATTATATAATTTAACTTTCTATCCAAAAAGTGTTATTTTTACTATTAAATAATATTTTAATATTAAATGTGAGGAATTAAATAATAATGTCATACTAAATGTGAATGATTGAAGAATAAAATATTATAGGTATTTAACTTCTAATATAGCATTATTTAAATGGAATGACTAAATATTTAAAAAAGGTTATATCTAAAGGATTAATCTATGTATTTACCGAACAAAAAGGATTAAATTTAAATTATTATTAAATTTAAAGGACTAAATAATTATTTACTCTTAAATTATTTCCATGTTTTCACGGTTTGTTTCTCAAAAGCCTTGAAAACAAACCTTACGGTGGCTCACTTATAGTGGTTTTTAAATGGGCTTCGACCACATTAAGACCAATCTTGTTAGGGAAAATATGACTTATAGCTAAATTATTGGGCCCAATTGAATACTATAGATGAATGTTTTAGACAGTGAATATCAAAGAATTTCTGTTTTTCCTATTTTCCATTTTTTCCCTTTTCAAATATTACTAGAAAAAATTAGGTCTAATGGTCGAATAAATTCTACACTTTGGATGTTTTAATCATTTTAATCATTTTTTTTAATTTTTTTCGATCAATTCATGCAACTTAGTTTTTATTAACAATTGTGACCTTTGTCAAGGATCCGTTAATATCACACCTGATGCGTTCGTTAATGGATCCCACCAAGTGACAATATAGCAGCTGCCAGGAATCTCACTAAGCACCTATCATATCAAACATTCCCTTAGTTCTCTTACTTTAGAGAAAATTTTCATTTTGGGTGTTTATTTTAATATAAAGAATTTTACTTTAAATGGAAACTTTGAGAATGATGCTAAAAGAGAAAGTGTAAAATGTCTTTCAATAACCTCTCTTATTGCCTTTATTTCGTTTCAATTAACAAGAACAATGGTAAACAAAATGTGGATTGAGCAATTAATGAGCTTATGTATCAAAAGCATGAGTAATCGCTACGTTTATGAGTAGTTCAATAAAAATGTGTTCAACTTTACAATCGGTCAGGTACCCTAATAAGGCCACACATTTTAATTGTTGTGCGCTAATAATAAAAAAAGTCTTCATAGTAGAATAATGTTTAGCAAAACGATGACATTTGCTTGACAATAGTGCCATATTTTGACAAAATCAAACGCAAAATTCTTTTGTGGACTATGTATATACGCATTATATAGAAATGTGCTTAACTTTATGCATGTGGACATGAACATGACTATTTTTATTGAAAAATTTTTATAATACGGTCACAAATTTGTATTGTTGTATCCTATCTTTAAAAATTGCATTTAAATCGACACTGCATCATATTAATATGGACACAAATTTTCGTTATAGCGAACAAACTCAATGTCCTTCTTTCTTGACTTAGCGTATGAAGAAGATGAGTTCGTCGTCTTTGAGGACAACTTTGAAAACGATATAAATTGACTGAATTTGAAAGTTACAGAGACACTTGCAATCTTTAAAGATTTCGACTAATAAATGCACCCTTGAAATACTCTAGTAATGAGTTGGCTTCCTTATCGTAAACTATGTATTTAAAGCTGATTAGGAGTATTATAAATAAAAATAGTCAAAAATTTTTATTTAACTACTTTTTTTAATCCTGTAGCTTTTTTTGTTTTCTCTAAGGTAAGAGAATAGAGAGAGTACAACACAAAACATTAGCGTTTTGTGTTTAATGAAATTCTTCAATAAAATGGCGATTTCCCTCTCCCATTTCCTCGATCAGCTTTTCGGCCACCAAATGGCTGACACGGGCGGCAATTCACTTCTCCATCAACGACAACTGCAACCTCAACCTCTCATTCGCCAAAAGAAGCATGTTCCACGCGAAACTGTCTATTTAAAAAACTACATTTAATGTGTAAATGTTGATAAATTCTGGAACTATCTGCCCTCCGACCACCGTGGACAACGGCTTTGGTGGTGGCTCCGGTGACCAAAAACTGCGTCGGGGAGAAAAGACTGTCATTTTATTGACGAATTTTATTAAACACAAAACTTAACGTTTTTGTTGCATTTGACATGAGGGGTGCTTCAATGAGATTCCTAGTCAGCTGCTACGTTGTCACTTGATAGGTCCCATTCACGGACACGTTAGCATGATGCTAACGGTTTCTTGATGGAGATTGCAATTGTTAACAAAAAAATAAGTTGTAAATACTGATAGGTTAAAACATGCAAAGTTCAAAATTTATTTGACCATTAGATCAAAATTTTAAATTTCAAAAGCACACATAAATTGAAAATTAATTTTCTTAAGTGGTGTTAATGCTATCATTTATTTATTTATTTTAATTCAATGACTAAACGTAAGAATGTCTCTTCTTTAAATCATGCATGCCTACAAAAATAAAAAGCGATCCTTCATGAAATTTTCAATCTCATGATTAATTTTTCATACATTAGGTAACAATTTATTTTTTATTTTTTATTTTTCACAAAAAGTAATGTTTGAAAAGATTGATAAAATTAAAAAGTGAAAGAGAGTCTTTTTCTTTTAATCGTTGAGGGCTAAACGTATAACTATATTAGGCGTGAGAATGTGGATTTGGGCCTGATGTGGTCCACAAAATTAGAGGCCTAAAAAGTTAGCAAAGCTCTGGACCCAAACAACCTTTCTTAAGCCTTTGAGTTTCAACTTTCAAGGTCCATGCCTAAATACAATTTCAAACAAAGCATTTACTATTGACAGTGTCCATATGAATAGTGATGTAAGAAAAGAGAACAAAAACACATTGGGAAATGAAAAAAAAAAAAAAAAACTCAATATTATTTGAATAATAAGTTTTTCTTCAAATATATTTATTTACATAAAGGATATTTTTAAAAATTCTCTTTATTTATAAAAAAGCCATTAAAGTTCATAGATTTAATATTTATATACCAAGTAAGTTAAATTTTATTAATTCATGACGTAATATTTCTTTTGTCTAACTATATAATTTTTTATATCGGTGACATGCAAATCCTAATATTATAATTTAATGATAAAATGTGAAATCATCGCAAAGTAAAAATTAAAATTCAAATATTTAAAAGGGATGGTCCGACTATATTTGGTATGTAACAAGTTCTACTTGTTTTTAGGGTTGTGTAAAAATAATTCAAACGTTCCACTATAAATAATTTCTTTTTCGATTATATATATATAACAGCCTAAAATCAAGTATTTACTTTTTTTCAAAAGATAGAATGAAAAAAAAAAAAAAAAAAAAAGTAAGTTAAATTTATTAATCATAGCGTTAATATTTCTTTGTCCTAACTTTTATATATAATTTTTTTATATCGCGTGACATTGCAAATCCCCATCATATGTATAACTTTAATTGACTTAAAATGTGAAATCATTCGCCAAAGTAAAAATTAAAATTCAAATATTTAACAAGGATTGTCCGGACTATATTTGGTATGTAACAAGTTCTCTACGTTTTAGGCGTGGTGTGTAAAAGTAATTCAAAAACGTTTCCACTATAAATAATTTCTTTTTCGCAATTATTATTATATTATACAGCCTAAATCAAGCATTTACTTTTTTCAAAAGTAGAGAATGAAAAAAAAAAAAAAAAAAAAATCTTCAAGACTAAAAGAATAATTCCTCTTTCTTCACTAAAACACGAGGACTCAAGAACTAAAAAGAGGAGGACCCTGTAATCTGCTTTGACAACATAGGGTCCATAAACCATCTTATTTCCAAAAAAAAAGCGAAATAGAAAAAAATGGTCTTTTTTTAAAACGACAAGCCTGTTCTTGAACTTCCTTGACACTCTTATTTCTTTTTTTTAGTTGTTCTTTTTTTCAGCTCACCTACGTTGCGTCGGTATGTGCTCTAGATTTTGCGTGCCCGACGTGGGCCGAGTATATAGAGGCGGATCCTATAAATGGTAACCGAAGGCGCATGGCAGCTCTGGAACCAAATTTGGACCATTTTCTTTCTTTGCTTTTCTGAAGCCTTTGATAGCTTCAAGTCCCAAATACAATTAAAAATAAAGCACTTTCGTATCAGCAGTTAGAAAAAAGAAAAGAAAATGCATTAACTAATTACATTAGTTATGATAATAGAATAACATAATTAAGTGAAGTGATTACGTTATACTATATATTTTTTTTTTTTTTTTTGTTTTTTTTTTCAGCTACTACGTGTGGGTATGTAGATTTGGGCCCGACGTGGTCCAGAATATTAGAGGCCTAAAAAGGTACCGAAGCGCATGCAGCTCTGGACCCAAATGACCTTTCTTTCTTTGTTTTCTGAAGCCTTGAGTAGCTTTCAAGCCCAAATACAATTTAAAATAAAGCATTTCGTACAGAGTTAGAAAAAAGAAAAAGAAATGCATTAACTAATTAATTAAGTTTATTATAATAGAATAATCATGAATTAAGTGAAGTGATTATATATATATATTAGTTTGATAATATTTATAAATATCTTAGCTAAACTTGTAATTCATTAATTTTTTTTATGAAAATTTTCTTATTAATAAATATTAAATCTTATTAATTGAACTAATTGCACCCACAGGCTTAATAAGATTCAAGTTCAAAATTTTCCTTTTCAATGTTAAAAAATG